TTGACCCAAAGATAATGATAGTCTTTTTTCTGTTGTGAAGTGAAATATTTGTCCCAATATGATTACTGTATATAACAGTAATTATTGCATTCATTACTTTATGACATTTCGTAGTTCTTTTTCTTTTTATTTTTATTCAATAAAAATTGGGAATAGTTGAAATTGTTGGGAACAATTAAAACTAGTGAAGTATTTAAAATCCGGTCTCTATGTTAAATTTCGTCCTGCAATTGCAATTGCGGAATAACAGTCAACGATATTAATGGCAGACAACATTATTTGAAATTTGAAATTGTAAAAAAATATATTTTTCAAATTTGTAAAAACTTCAAGCGTATAAGAAATTTTTCGGTCTAAAATTAATTTCAAATTTGAATGTTACATTTAATAGGTTTAAGTTTATTTCAAACTTGAAATTTTAATTTAAATTGGAGTTGAATTTAGAGTTTATGCAGTGATCGATTCTTGAAATGTTTATTCATTAATCGAATACTGATTAATTATATTAATTTTTCATATTTTAAGTTGCAATTACATTGTTATCATCGTAGATCAGCAAGTATCAAATCTGAAATTTGTATTGCTTCCTAATTTCAACTTAATTCTTTAGTATGATGCAAAAATTAGCATAAGCTGAATAATGATATGATCATTGATGACAAATGATGATGATGATGATGATGATGATAATGAAGAGAATGAAAGATCATAATGAATATAATGATGATTATGGTTGCTGTTAACGGTAGCATCTGGTATTCCATGTGTTCCCGGGGCATATTGTATAAAATTGAATGGTATGGTACTGAATTTAGCATAGCTTCTGGAGGAAACGAGACCACCCGCTGCTCGGGAGCAGCATTTCCTGATGACTGCACTCATTTCAGGATGATGCGATGTTTGTTGCATCATTCAAATCCACTTTTCCTTTCTTCCACTACCACTTATATATCAACAAAACATCCATCATGTGAACTGAAGCAAGCATTAATGAGCTAATCAATGACATTTATGCTAATTACTTCATAAAATACTCCAACAGGATTAGACCAGATATATGTATGTGCTCAATATGTAACCGATCATTGATGATTTATTTGAACAGCTTGAAATAGCTTTTAATGCTAATAGCTTTGCTAGGATATGCCTAATATACCTGTTGATCTTTTCAGGTATCTAAAAATACTGATGAAATGATCATTGTAGTTTACTTACTTATCATTTGTACTACTTATCATTTACATCACTTATCATTGGTCTACTTATCATTTACACTTACTTAATCATTTGTACCACTTATTATTTACACTACCTATTATTGGTTTACTTATCATTTACTCATCATTTACACTTATTACTTGTACCACTTATTATTCACATTACCTATTATTGGTCTACTTATCACTTGCACCACTTATCATTTACACTACTTATCATTGGCCTACTTGTCATTTGTTAAGTAACACTTTAGTAAAAGTATATTTAGTTAAAAATTTCAAATTAGAAATGGTTAAACAATTTTTTCAAAGTTATTAAATTACTATTTGAACTGCATGAAAATGATAATTAATTAGCCAAGAGCGCCATATAAATTACATATGCAATAAAGCCAAAAGCAATATTGAAATATGAATTGAAATTTGCTAAATACGAAATTTATTAATAATAAGTGTATATATATTAAAAAAATAAAAAATTTATTTAAAAATTAAATAGAATATTTACTTCAAATAAAAACCTTTCAACAATAATTGATCCAAAATGAACCAAACATCAATTAATTACTCTCATTCGGTACTGTTAATTAATTTTGGACAATTTGATCGAATGCAAACGATCACTTTTTAAATTAGCGACAACACCGCCACCAATATCTGTTAACAAAGATACCGCATAACTGTTTCATGCATGCATCGAACATTCATTTAGTCTTTTTGTGTGGACGATTATTTTGAACTACGGTAATTATTCAGGAACTGGACAAATAAATGGACAATAGATGGACATCGATATATTAGAACCAAACCTATTCTTATTCGTTTCAAAAAGACCGCAAATTGTTGGATGACCCTCTTTTATGACAATTTGTACCTTTTTACATTGTGCTGCATCATTTTGTGCTCATTGCACATTTATGGATATTTTTCCTCTCATAAAACATATTTCTTGTTATTGTTAAATTTGCAATTAAATTTCAATAAAATAGTGAGAAATATAAATTATAAGAAACCTCGTGAAATTCATCAATTAAAAAATTCAATTAAATTCTTTAAACTTTTAATTATGTACAAAATTTATTGTTCGATACAAACAGTCAATTGAAAATTTTAACTATCAAAATTAAACTTTATTATTTTGAAAAATAAATTTCGTTATTTTTTATTAGCACAAATAAATACGATGCATTTTTTTTAAACACTTTTTTTTAGCACTTTTTTAACACTAAAAAAATATAAAAATACTTTAAAAAAATATGCAAATTAATTTTGAAAGTTAAAAATATTGAAAAGTTCAAAACTTTTGTCGTATTTTAATGCATAGAAGTAGATAAATTTATTGCTGATCAAATATTTTTGTAATTTTCATAAAATTTTTGAAAATTTTTTTAAAAATCCTAGGCTATTTTAAATATTTTTTACTTCAGAAATTTACAAAAAAAAAACGAAAAAAGTTTTACTGTACTTTTAAATTCAGTAATTAATTGGTATTTGCTTCGTTCGCTTTTTTACGGTCATTTACAATACTTATTGGAAATTAATTAATTTATTTTGTGCAGATGACAAACATATTGTGTAATTATTATTTGCTTAAAAAAATTTTGTTAATTTTTTAAATATATATTTGCTACTTTAAATGGTTTTAAATTCCACAGTTATTTTAAAAATTTTAAAATTTAATAAATCTTTTAAGGATAAGATATGAATAAATATGTTGAAAAAAATATTCAAATATATTTAATATTTTCAATAAATTATTTAAAATATTTTGCTAAGTGTACAAAAAGGTTTGCATATTAATTATTGCTAATTGTTTAATACAAAAAAAATTGAATTCTACAATCAGGTGTACTAGTAATATATCAGATGTTGAACTTCACATTATTATCAGAATCTCTCATAGAATACAATGAATATTATGAATTGTTACTGTAAATATGCGGGATGTAAATAAAACTTGTCGTAAGGGTAGCAAAATATATGAGGACACCTGTGTAGTGCACCTGGAAATAATTGAGTCGAGTAACTGTTGCACATTACACCATATGTCAACATCACCATTTGTCTTAAATCCGAAACAAAAAAAAAAAAGAAAAAGAATTTAGGTTATTAATGGTTAAATGATTTTTAATAAAATAAAAGTTTATAAAGTGACAAAATTTATGGAAACTTTGCGTTGACAGTTAAAATATCAGTTTAATTTCAATTTTCATACGGTATTACACATTTGCGCCAATTATAATGTTATGGAAGAAATTGATATGCAAAAATGACTGAGTAAGAGTAAATAGACTGGATGTTAATTGAATTCAAATAATTTAAGATCAAATTTAAAAATGAAAAAAGTTGATGGAAAATTTTCCTTATTTTTATTAATGTCTTTTTAAAAAGG